GAGGTGAAGCTGGTTACAAACTGAGTGGTCCCCCACCTCCCCATGTCCAGAGCCCTGCCCAGGTTTTCCCAAGGCTGCCTGCAGCACCCAGGAGTCAGCCTTGCTGGTGGCCCCCTGCCCCGGTTCCTGCGGCGCCCCAGCCTCACCTGCCTTCCTGGCTTTTCTCGGGAGTCTGTGTCCCTGGGGTTTAGGCTGTTGGTACAGATGACTCTACAGAGTGCGTGGCATGTCCCTGACCCAGGCCCTGGGTAGCAGCAGGAGGGATCTGATGCCCAAGCTGTGCCGTGGGCACCCTGGACGGGTGTCTGTCTGATTCTATGGGCAGGAGAGATATTGCAGAGACCCTGGGTCAGGTCCTCAGGGTTCTGCCGGGGTCTTGGTCCGCCCCCTCCTTTCTCCAGCCCACCAAGTCCCATGTGTGTGGGGAGGGGGGGCACCCCAGCTGAGTGAGCAGGTGGGGGTCTGGGCCTCAGGGTAGTGAGGACCTGAAGGACAGTGCCAGTAGTGATCCTGAGAGCTGGACATGGCCTCGTCCACACACATTGCTGTGTGGGACCCCAGGACATCCTGCAGGGCACATACTCTCGGGTTTGCCGTGGGCCAGAGGGAGGCAGGGCTCTACCAGCAGTGCCTGCAGCTGACCCGAGCCATGCCACCCAGGGCTTAGGCAGGGCCAGGTGCTAATAAGGGCAGTTGGTTCCACTGCCCTCCTGCACTGGCCCAAAGTCTCCTCCTTCCATGGGGGTCCACTTCACCCTACCCTGAGTCAGCTCAGAGAACAAAGTGTCCATAAGGCTCCCCTGAGTGTCAGGGTGGAAGGCCCCTGGGTGTCAAGTGAGGCTGGGCTATGCATGCATGAAGCCCCCTGGGTGTCCAATTCCACACATCAAGGGCCCAAGGCAGGGTCTGGGGTCTGTTTTCATCAGGGAGCAGGGTTGGGGGTTCGGTGCGTCTGTGGGTGCCATCTGAGGAGTCCTCAGGTCTCTTCAGGGACTGTGTGGAGCAGGGGACAATGAGTGAGAGACATCAGTGACTCTCAGCTGAGCCCTGACATCACTCCCATCCCTGAGCACACACTGACCTTGTCCTAGTCACATGCTAAGCCCTGACTCTGGACAGTCTCTGAGCCCTGACCTTGGTCACACCCTGAACCCTGACCCTAGTCACACTGAGTTCTGATCCTAGTCCCATTCTGAGCCCTGATCCTGGTCCCACTCTGAGCTCTGAGCCTGGTCCTACACTGAACCCTGATCCTGATCAATACACACATATATCCATACACAGGACACACAGAGAGCATACCTGCACAGGGCACACACACATAGGACACACACACCGAGCATACCTGCACAGGGCACACACACACACAGTACACAGAGCATACCTGCACAGGGCACATACACAGCACACAGAGCATGCCTGTACAGGGTATACACACATATATCCATACACAGGACACACAGAGAGCATACCTGCACAGGGCACACATGCGCACACACACACACACACACACACACATACACACACACACACACACACACGGCACATGTGCTCTGTCTGCCCTGCAAGCAAGCTGCTCATAATGAGTCTCCCTGCAGTGCAGCCCACACAGGCACCCCTGTGCTGGCCCCACTCCCCAGATGCCCAGTCAGCCTGCTCGGCTCTCCCCTAGGAAATCTGCTTCTTTCCTGAGGCCCTGAGGCTGGGAAGGACTGGGGTGGCCCAGGGCTCCTGGGGTCTCCTGCTGAACGCGCCCTCCTTCCTGGGCAGGCCAGTCCCAGGCCACCACCTGACCTGAGGGCCTCCAAGTTGGTGGCTGTGTCCCAGTGGGCTGTGGCCGGCTCCCGCACCCAAGACCAGCTCCCTGCTCCACAGGGCTTCCCCAGGCATCACAGGGCCAAGGGTCCCTGGGAGTGAGTTACCCAGGCCACACTGACCCCAGGCCAGGACAAAAGGACAGAGGGACAGGGTGGCAGGGTGGGACGCTCGGCCCTCCCCTGTGCGCCTGGAGGCAGCCTCGCCCTCACTGGGCTCTGGCTTCTCACACATCAGAGGAGCAGGGCTGAGGCCCCAGGGGTCTCCAGAGCCTGCAGTGGCCCTGACTCTGGTGTCCTTCTCTCTCAGGGCACCACCAACCAGACCTGCATCTTATGGGACGAGTCGGACGGGTGAGCTCACCGGCCTGGGGGTGACAGCGGGAGGGTGCAGGCCTTGGTGTGGGGGCGCTGTTGCAGCCCCCACCCCTCCTGAGCATGCTCACTGTTCAGGGCGGGAGAAGGGGGAGGGTGCAGGGACGGAGCAGCCCGAATCCTGATGTCGGGGCGCCGGCAGGGGTTGGTGGAACCTGGGATCGTGGGGCACACGGCCGCTGTCCAGGCCCTTGCCCTTGAGGGGGGTTGCCTGGATCAGACGTTGACTCAGTGTTGTCTGTAGGGAGTCCTGACGGCAGAGCAGCGCCGAGTTGGGGGCTGTCAGCATGGACAGAGGTTGTGTGAAGGCCTGGGCGTGAGGGCCCCAGTGGGAAGGAGACTGAGGGATCTCCTGAGACCCCATCTCAGAGAGTCCCCCTCACTGCCCTGGCATCTCCGGCCCCAAGCCTCCTGTGCCCCTTCCCCAGCATGGAGTCCAAGATGTCTTGGCAGAGGGAGTAGCCCGTGCAAAGGCCCTGGGGTGGGCTAGGCAGGGTTGCTGGGCAGGGTCACTGACCCTGGATGGCATACCGCTGCACCCTGCTGGTGCTGGGAGTGTGGACGGGTGGGAGCCGCAGCTGGACTCTCGGCCGGGGAACCAGCTCTCTGGCTTTGGGGTGCTCACTGAGT